AGATTTGTTGCACAAACACTCTTTGCCTTGGACAAGATTGGCCCATAGTCAATCAAGTGATCATACTAGGTGGTTATGGACCTAGATGTCATGATTCATATGCATGGGCACAGTGGATTTTCTGGCAAAGACTGCTTGGACACTATACTGGTCAAGCCTTCCAAACTCTAGGTAAGAATTTGGTCAATGATTTCAAAAATGTTACTAGTCTGGATGATGATGACAGGATGAATGCCTTACATGTTACCCTAGTTTGTCTGTGGGTGGCCCTGGGCCTAGCCACCGACACTTGGTGAGTTTATATCTTTATCATATCTCAAAGTAATACTGATATAAATCAACCAACAAGATTAGGAAAGCTTCTAATTTTTGTCAATGACTCTGTATATCTCACTGAAAAGCAACAACAAGATCAGATAAATTTCCGCAAATGTCAATGCTCTAATTGTGATACATCAGGGGAAATTGACCCCCTTTAAGATCTTAAGACAAGGGATAAACATAAGTTCCATGAAGTTCTTAGCCAACCAACAATTGAAAGACATATGCCCAAGAAGAGCTTTCTAAATCAAATACCTATATTGAAAGCAAAGCCAAAAGAGAAGACTACAAGACCTTTGTTGTGTTCAACAAGTGATACAATTCAAATTCTTCACCTATTATCAAGCTTTCTGGCACTTTCTCTGATGATGAGACTTGATAACTTTTCTTGTGTCACTCTCATCTGTTTGAATTTCATCTTGTGACTTTGAAGGCTAAAGGCACAACATCAGCGGTGAGTTCCATTCAGGACAGCTGAACGCCGGGTATCAATCACGAGTAATGAGGTCAAGGGCAACTGGACAGTTGGCACCCAAGTGAGACAGCCACGCGCAGACCACAAGGAGAAACAAAAAGTCATTTGAGCTTGGTTCAAACTCACCAAATGGAATTGTAACTGCTAAGTAATGCAGGAAGGCCCCGGAGGGTCTGACTCCTAATTGCAAAAAACAGAAACCCCAATGGGGTGGTCACTAAACAACTAAGATACAAAATAAGAGCTAAGAACCCTAAAAAATAATGGGAGGGATGGCTATGGGATTCACAGAATCCCTGATCAAGTACAGCTGTTCTGCAAATTCGTGTCATACCCAAAATTTTTCAAACAATAAAAATCAACGCCACCAGCTAAATACAGCCTATACAGGGCTGTACTTATGTTGTCAGCCTGAGACTCTAAGTCATGGCAGATGACTGGTAGTTCAGAGCTGAATAGTACTTACAAAATGTATTCTATCAAGTTTTAGACAATATTATTGAAACTTGAGGGAGATTATTTTTCAATTCTTTGTAAGTAAAAGGAACTATAGTCGTTACGTATAGTTGTCTTAGGTGCGGGATGATTACCGCTGCCAGTAGCTTATCGAAGTGCAATCACGACGGTAGCCTTCTAAGGTGAATACGAAGGGATTCGTGGTTATTCCTTAGGTGACGCTTTAGCGTTGGTTTGATGAATTTATCATCAAAAGGAAAATGAGAGACTATCTACAATATCAATTCAAATAGTAAGGAAACCATCAATTGATAAAGAGATAGTGACTCAGAGAAAAAAAGGGTGTCTTTGATATGAAAGAAGATGCGATAAAGGATTCTAAAAGATAAGAATTCTAAAAAAGTCTTCTTTCAGATGAAAGATAAACAAAGAAGGATTTTGATGTAAAATGCTAATTCATTGATGAGTTGCGGTAAAAAGTGGTACGGTATAATGTTAAGATTGTTCTTCTTTGTTTGGATGCACAGAATCCTTGTTTTATATATCAGAGAAAAGTCACTCGCTCTGAGCTAGACTGTCAGGGTTTTCCCTGGATGCTGTCATCAGGGTTTGATCTTGAAACACGCAACATCAATAGGTTACTTCTTGGAGTCAATCAATACCCTATTTTGGGACTAGGGTCTTGTTGCTTTCACGGTTGGTAATGACCTGAAATTCATTGCTTGTGTTAACAACTCTGAACCGATGTGTACATAAATGATGGCTGACACATGGGAGTATCACAGAATACTCCTCATGGCTGACATATGTCCAGTGTGTGTAGAGCAGTAGCATGTAACATACGGACACTCCCAAGCCAAACCACAGTCCAACCGTTCCCAGTCCATCATCGGCCTCGCAAACAGCACCACAACCACATCCCGTTTTCGACAACTTGTCACTGTACGTCCCTTGATTACGTCTTTGTCTACGGTAAGTGTTTTTCATCCTCCCTCTCATATATAGGGCCTGACTCTGAATTGTGATGAAGCAGACATGCGTGTAAGACCCAAGCTTCGACCTGGAAAATACGACGCTGGCATCAAAGTGCTGGCGGTTCAATACCTGCGTTCTGGTAAAACCATACCCCACGTCCAACGTCTATTTAAGTCGTCAGTCAGCACTCGCACAATTGCCCAATGGCACGCTTTATACCGAGCAACATACTTGGTCGTTTGGAACCCTGAAGACTATGCTACCCTAGGGAGGAACACCGCGCTCACGGACGAGGATCATGATTTTGTTCTTGAGCTACTAGACGGCAACCCCGGTCTGTAAAAAGATTAAAACGTTTAGAAACACGACAGTGAGTGAAATGAAAACTGAGGGAAAGCGATGAGGGGAAAGAGACGCTACCGAAGCTAAGTGGTGGAAAGATCTTGGGTAGGCCATGGTGAACTTTTCGATTATCAAAAAGAATTTGTGCGGTTCGTGATTGTGAGGTCTTTCGATTTGCCGTGACGGACACCTTTTGTAGTGGTAGGAGAAATCGATCAAGTTGTGGTTGTCATAAAGGATCCCTGGGTCAAAATGCGTGGACTTGAGGATGACAAGATCCACAAACCCCATGGCTGGATGGCTGGTCTTGGTAGGTCAGATTTGGTGGGTGATTCAATGCTATAGATGGATCGCTCGTCTTGGTAGGTTGGATTTGGTGGGTGAATGAACGATGGACCAAATAATGGGAAGGCCAACCGGTGAAGCAGGGCTGAGGTGGAGTCGAGGGTGGGTTGTGGTTTGTTTGTCATGAATTGATTGGGGTGTGCCGGTGGGTCCTGCCAAACAACAGCAAACCCTTCCAATCCAATACTTCTGACCTAGGTACCAAACAGTTAAGAGCTAAGCTCCACCTAGGCAGTGCACATGTGCAGTACAGCCCTGTATAGGCTGTATCACTACACCAAATGTAATCTTTACCGGGCGGTAAAGAAAACTACTGACATAGAAAAGTCCTGAGGCAACAGGGAGAGAGCTAAAAATCTGAAAAAATATGCACCTTGTTCCTAGATGTTGGGGCGTCATGATAAGTATTTTTTTGTATTTTACACGCAGATATTGGTTAATGTACTAACAATAAAGGCTGAAAATCATCAAAAACCCACCTGTAACAATACCTGAAATTTGGGTCATGATTATGAAGACAATATTTTGTGGTCTAAAAACTTCAATAACTTTTGCAATTCTGCTCCAAATAACTCGATTTGTGGTTCATTCAAAAGCTGAACCATTCTCCTTTACACTTCATAATGTCAGCAAGGTGCTATCTAGTCATTTGAATGCTCTACATATGTCCAAACAGTTCTGCATGAATAGCTCCGTAGGACCTTCTTCAGACGGGCTACAGATGTGATGTTTGAATGAAAAATGTAGAGGAAAGACTCACCTTTTCAATGAACCAAAAATCGAGTTATTTGATTCAGAACTGCAAAAGTTATTGATGTTTGAAGATTTCAAAATCCTGTCTACAAAATCAAGGGCCAAATTTCATGTATTGTTACAGGTGGGTTTTTGATGATTTTCAGCCTTTATTGTTAGTACATTAACCAATATCTGCGTGTAAAATACAAAAAAATACTCATCATGACGCCCCAACATCTAGGAACAAGGAGCATATTTTTTCAGATTTTTAGCTCTCTTTCTGTTGCCTCAGGACTTTTCTATGTCAGTAGTTTTCTTTACCACCCGGTAAAGATTACATTTAGTGTAGTGTATTTAGCTGGTGGCGTCGATTTTTATTTTTTGAACAATTTCGGGTATGACACAAATTTGCAGAACAGCTGTAACAAACCAAATAAATTTCAGTCTAAGATATCAAAGCAACACTGAAGATAGTAGGGATGAGATTATGTTAAAGTTTGTAACAAAGAAAGCTTGAATGGAAAAGAAAAGCTTTTGGTGTGAGAAACAAGATTATAAATGGCAGTGATAAAAATGATCAGGTTTAATCACGTGAGTAAATATGGAGGATATTCACGTTGTAATGATAAGTAATCAGTAATGTAAAACAAAGTAAATGAAACAACATTAAACTGCATTATTAACAATGACATACAGTCGTTTGCAAAAAGCTTGCCACGAATTCACTGCCACATTGCTTGAGTTTTGCGGGTAAAATTGGACAAGCTTTTTGAAAATGACTGTAAGCAATAATACACTCCAACAATGGCGGGAGACAAAATCTTCAGTGAGGTTTTGATGAAGCTACTATAATTGAGAGACAGTTGTAGGAGCTGAAAACCGTTAACAATGGGGTGTGGATGATACAAATTATTAGATGTTGGTAACTCGTTATTAACCGATGGGAATGTGATTCAATTCGGACTGTAACATACCTGTAACATTAGGGCGGTTCAAGTAGACCTTTTACGGCCCTTTTTTTAAGTTTAAGTTTGATTCGGGAGACATAAATTATAAGTAAAATTTAAAGTCTGTGAACCACCTTTAGAGGTGGTTCAGAGATTTGCGATCCCTCAAAAATTCTTAAATCGTAAAAATTTATTAACATAAAACAGGAACAAAGAGGAAAAAAATGTGCTTTTGATTTTTTTTTATTTATCCCTTGTTCCTGCTTTTTCTCTTTTTTTCTGTTTGGAAAAAACCCTTTTTTCCGCGAGTTTTTTTTTTCAAACGGTTTTCTCTTTCATTAACAAAAGAGAAGTCCATGCGTCCAAACACCAAATGTCGGGTTTTGGCGCCGAAGGTCACACCGATGGGTTCTTCCGTGTCTTGCCTGTCCTCACATACAAACGAGCTCATCCTCGGGCTCCAGGCCACCTCGTGGATGAACGCAATTTGGCACACCCACGACTTCTGGTGGGTATGGAACGGCTTCAGGACTCGGCAAGTTTATCTGACGATACGCCCTCGGCTTCACGCATATCAGGACGACATTCAAGCTTTGACATCATGTCAAAGCTTGACGAAAGCAGCAGAAAATCCACTTCGACTTTGGCCTATTCAACAACCGCTCTCTCCGTTTGCCTACTTATGGTTCTCCGTTTGCCTACTTATGCCAAGTAGGTTCTCTTTCGTAAGCCTTTCTTAAATCATTTCACTCTCACCGCATCATCTCTCGGTATCATTTCTTGGTCCCTCTCACCGATTTATCCAATCTTATTGCCTCAATTATTCTATACTTTCGGTCCTTCTTTGTTGTTTGTTTCGTGTTCTTTGTATCAATTGGCCTGTTCAATGCCTCCTCTATCTCAACCTAGTGGAAAGGTGAGTTAGTATTTCACTTACAATGATGCATATGATGCTGATGATGTGAACCGTTTTGCAGGCACCTCGGGCTCGTCGAACGCAAGCCCAAATTGAGGCCGATCTGATTGCATCTGGCCTTCCAGCGGCGTCTAAACCCACGCCAGCAGCGGTGAAACGCTCTCGACTGGCTGCGAATGCACGCGCGCGTAGCGCTTCGGTAGCTCCATCTGGCAAGTTGACGAAGGACAGCCCTAGTTTAGATCTCATCGATTATCAAACAATTATCACGTACCTATCAAAACCCAACATCCGCAACTCCCTCTTCGGCGGCGGAAGTCAGACAAAGGTTTCCGGGATGCCCATGAATCCCAGGGCTCTACTCAATCCGCTCGCCATTGAAATAAATAAAGACTACAATATTCGTCACAACACCACCCAGATGCGCTTGAATGGCAGGATTTTGTATCTGCGTCTGAAGCGGTACAAAGGGAAGTACAAGGCTGCGAAGGATTTCAGTTTGAAGACAGGCAGTGGACTTTTGGCGAAGAACATGGCCGACGGCATACACACTATGGAAGACCTCCTTGAATCTATGTGCCCATTTTATCAGGGGATGGATGCGCTTTTCCGTGACAAAGGGAACATCACCCCTTTCGGAATTCTTGACAGCAGTGTAGGCCCTCATGAAGACCTCGATGATAGTGACGATGGCATTGGCGCAATCGCTCCTAACGCGGCAGATAGTGACGGTGAGACCACGGATGGCCACGACCACGGTGCGAAATTTTCTCTTTCTTGATTTCTCTTTTCAAATGAAACTGACCTTCAAACGTTCACTTTGAATCACTAGAGCTCGAGTCACAATTCAAGATCCAATCTAAATGCAGTCCTCCTAAACAGCATTCCCGTTTCCCTAGCCCAGACGCCGAGGAACTAGAAGCGTACACTGAATACTTCAACACAGAAGTTGAGCCTGGTAATCACCTCGTCCTCGACAACATTCCTTTACCCTCTCCGGCGCCTGCTCCAACTCAGCCTGCCGAAGAGGCCATTGAGTCAACAGGCCAAATCGAGGTTTCACCATCAAACCCTGCAGCTAGCAATCCCCGTCTTCGTCCCATTTACAAGCGACCACCGGTTAAGCGGCGTGCGCCCAGAGAGGAGGATCTTACCGCTGAAGAACTCGCCCTTGACAACAGCTCCGACGACGAAGCCCAACAGACTACGACTCCAGCCAAAACTGCCCTCGTAGTTAACACTGGGTCTAAATCCAAGCGTGCCACTTCCACTCTTTCACGTCGCGGCTTGGACCCACTCCCCTCGATCGATCCCTCGCAAGTTCACAGTAAGGAACACAAGCATGCCCTTGCCACCGTGATTCAACAAGGGAACGGCGCGAAGATGATGATGATCAACAAAGCGAATGAGCTCCGCAAACACTTAGAATCCACAAGAATCCAATCCGAATTGGAAGCTCGCCAGAGCGACCTTAGTTGGGCAAAAGAGAAGTATTTCTTGGAGCGCCAAGAACAGCGTGAAGCTGAATCCAGGAGGATTCAACAAGAGCTTACTAAGGATCGCAAGGCATTTTGTGAGAAGTTGGTCATGGACGGAAAGACGCCTCAGGAGCTGGAAGCCTTCCTGCGTTTGGTATATCCTCCCGCCAATGGCTGACTCTTGCTTGTATGGTTTGATGTAATATGTTGTTACGTGAGTCACCAAGTTCTCACCTTGATCTGACTCGTCAGCGCATTGTCCTACAATGTGTAACACTTGTCCTGAGTAGGTCAAATCTATCTGACACGATGCCTTCAACCAATGTTTGTTTTCCCTATGTTTTCCCTCTCGATTCTCTCTTGTTTCCTTCTGTTTTCCTTCTCCATTCTATCTTGTTTCATTTTCGATTCTTCCTTGTGGTATCCGTTGTCTTGTTCGCTTTCTACTTTTCAAATGTACTTATGTTCTGTTACGTTTCTCAAACAAGTTCAATCAATTACTTCAGAAGTGCGCAAAGACATTAATGGCTGAACTCAGCGAGACAAGACCAACAGATGAGTTGTGCAAAAGAAAAACAAAAAAACAAAGGTAAACCTTTGACTCGACAAGAAGATCAAAAAACAAAAAAACAAGCGAGACAACAGCTTGGAAAGACCGATATAACCTTTTCAACCCACGATTGGGAGACCACCGCTTTGCCAATTATAAGCAACAGCGTGGTCTCGAACACTTTCACGTTTTGCCCTCCCAATCTCAACTCCAACAGGGTCAGCTACAGCACCACCTCGCAGACGACCCGCTTCACCTCGTTCAGGTAAGATAAGTTCGTCCTCTTCGGTCCAAGTGTTGCCAAGGCCTGCGAGCATGTTATGTAGGATAATGCATGTGCGGACCCATCGAAGTATGTGGTACATGTCCGCGCGAGTATTCAAGGATAATCTCAGGCCTTGAAGTGACGCCCATCTGGACTTCAAAATCCCAATGCAATGTTTGTTTCTAACCCTGGATTTAGCTACACACCAATTGAAATCTTTATTTCTCTCCACTTCGGCAGCTTGCCCTTTGTAGGATGGAACTACGGTTTCAGATGGAATGTAAGCCGAGTCAGCAATTATGTATTCGCCTGGATTCGAGCAAGTTACTTGGTCAGTAATGATCAAACAAAACAAGTGAGGCAATTTTAGTACCAACCTTCATCAAAAAAATCCCCAGGACGATTGGCCATTTCACACTTTGAATACACTGTACTATCACAGCATGAGCCCGGCCACCCTGCGTACGCGTAGGTTATTCTCCTGTTGCAGTCACAAACTATCTGCACGTTGATGGAATACCGATGTTTTTGGTCGAAAAACACCTCCCCATCACGACTGGGGCGTTGGAAGAGTGGAATAGTCGTACCGTCCACAAAACCCACACAACGGGGAAATCCATCCCGCGACAGCACCGTAGATATAGCCTTGCGTCTGTCCGAACTGGGCCATGAAAGGTAAGTTGCGCCGACGTCCAATATTGCAGTTATGACTCGTCTAGTACAGTTGATTACAGAGCCTCGACCGACTTTGTAATTCCTCGCGAACCTGCCAACCGAGGCACCATTCCCGTTGCTGCCCAGCCGTTCGAGGGTAATTGCTAATTGTTTTTCAATCGGCGGTTGCGGGTTGTTACTTGTTGAAAGGAAGATGGGATGTGAATGGATCATTTGGAGTAGGGCATGAAAGCCCTCAGGGCTCGTTCGCATGGCCTGGCGAAAGTCTGTTTGTCTAGATTGAAGCATGTCTCGTAAGTCAAAAGCCGTCGGAAGTGGGTCACGCAGGCGAGCTTGAAGGTACCGTCTGGAAATGACATGCCCAAGTAGATCACCCCACAATTGTTCATCATTGAAGAGAATATTGTATAAGCTCGCCGTTGGTAAATCGTCATAAAACACCATTTGGCCTTCGGTGGGGATTAAGGGAGGTGATTCTGCGTCAGGCAAGCTCAGATCCGAGTCGATTTGGGCCACCACGCATAAGTTGGTAAGATCACGAAGGACAGCCATTCTTTCTGAGACACGGGGCATTTGAAAGCCGTTAGATATCAAGATGTGGAATGTGATGAAAGTTTGGAAATCGGGAATTAAGAAGCGAGGTGGGTTATCTGGGTTTTCAAAACATGTTGGGGGTGGTTGCTTGCATAACTGCCAAATGCAAAGGAAATTCCAGTTGCTCACGGACGATAAGGTGAAATGCAATGTTCATTAAGGAAAAAAAAGGCAAAACCTAGCAAAAAAAATGCCATGGAAGAACGCTGGGAACTTTTCGACCTGATTTTGCAAGGCTTTAAAACTTAAAATTGGGATGTTCGCGACTTTGCAAACCTTATTTTTAAGGTGCGACGGACCTTAAAAAAGGTGATCGAGTCGTGGTGAAACATGTGTTCGCGAATCTCTTCTTGAACCACCTTATTACTAACGGGTCGGATTGTTGATCTCTTATCTTTTGCAAACAGCCATGATGTCATAGGCTGTTTACCACCTCCGAATTTAATCTCACCATTACATTTCCATCGATATCTTCGCTATTGAATTGTCATTCTTACTTACTCAAAGCAATCTTTCGACGCCCACCCACCCTTGTTCCCAGGTTAAAACGTGTTATCAGGACTAGTTTCGTTCATATTATTATCAGTTATATTTTTTATTATGTTACTCATGTTGTTCTTTATGTTCTATTGTGATTTTTTCTTTCTTAGTAAAGTTATTTCTTTTTCTTTTTCTTTGTCCGGTCAAGCCTGCTATCCTATTTCTTACTTTTTTTTTAAAAAAAAAAGAGTAGCGTATTCATTCGTCTAGTTAAAATTATTGTCATCTTTTTTATACTTAGTGGTTTTTTATCTGATAGCGCATTTTTCTCTTTCTTTTACTATCTTAGTGTTATTTCTTTTTTACGTTGTTTAGTGGTGCGCTTTATTTAGAGACCGCTAGCCACCCCGTAGGGGGTTTTTGTCTTTCAAGTAATATATAACCCTGGGCTGTTCTAGCCTAGGGATTCACCCACAACCTCTTACCGTTGAGTATCTTCTAATACTGTGTATTGTAAGTTTTCATGAATTACATTTCCAGATAATAAAATTTGTATTGAAGAAAGAAAGATTGTGCGAAACTTCAAAGTAAAGCAAACGGTAGAGAGTCACTGTGACAACATATTGTGCTGAACTTGAGTGTTAGTAAGATTTTCTTCACGTGAATGAAGATGCGTCTTTCACAAACAACTGATCGTTTTCACAAAGCCAACTCCGCCTTCCCCGATTACAATACGTTAAAACAAGTTCCGACAGGACCCCGGTATGCTCTTATCAGGGGTACAGATCCAAAAATGTGACTTTTGAGCTCGCTCGGAAACTTGTCCCTGGCTTTACCCATAGCTTTAAGACAGGTTTAGTCTTTTTAATCAGCTGTATTGGACTTAGCAACTCTGAAATTCAGGCAGAAACCGGTAAAATCCAAGAGAACACTGTTTAATCCCATATGTCGTATCTCCGCGCGAGCTCAAAAGTCACAATTCTAGATCTGTACCCTTCATAGGAGCATACCGGGGTCCTGTTCCGACTACTAGGAAACTTAATTACGTGATCCATATCTTACAACTGTGCGTAGCGAAGACAAGCACAGTCTTCGACATCCAATCCCATGGACCAGAAAAACCACAACCGGCCGGGCGGGCAATCAGGGTACTCGGGTTCCACTGCTGTGAACTTTGAAGACCACGAGGGTGTCATAAAATTGATATTGCACAGCCTGTGCTGCGTAGGAACCAATAGCTTACGAACCGGGTCCTAGGAAGCCAAATCGAAGCTCTGAATTACCGAAAATCTACTGGAGTATATAATCAGGAGAGGTCATCTGAGCTTGCGGCCGTGTTTGAATGAAGCATCGGACAATCACCAAGGTCGGAAGTGAAGTCATCGATTATGATCAGATCATCAGACTTTCCAAGTCCCCAGGTAGGTGAGGCGTCCAAAGCTTTGGGATCACCGAGCTACATAGCATCCCTTGGTTACCCTTAGCAACATGACAAGGAATGGGAATATAAAGGTGGGCGGAAACATCCTCAGAAGACTTTGTCCCTATACTCTGCCTACATAAATAAATCTTGCGTAAATAATTTCATTGAATCACATTCAATCATCTTAAAGCCCAAATCTCAACTCGAGCACTATTGATTACTAGCTCGTCTGACCAATAATTAGCCCTACTTTTCAGAAGTTTAGCTAATCGCCATACCTTTTGTCAAAAAGAAATCTCAATAAGACCTATAGATATAATTGTGCTGCGTCTTCAACCATGTTTTACACTTGTATTTTGATTTGCTTGAGCCTCCTCTCTTCCTTTCAACAAACGGTTGTGGGTCAATGTCTACCGGCTGGTTCCAAGCCGATCAACATAGGACAGTGTCGCAAGTAAGTGAAGCCAGTCCTTTTCAAGTTCTATGGCCACTTTACCAGAGAACCTTTTTGATCACAATACCAAGACATAAGGATTTATGGAAAACTGACTTTATGTGTGAAGAGCACTTGCCACATACAAGTTTGATAACCGTGGCCTGCTAGACAATGACGGGTATAAGAACAAAAAGACATGTGGGAGCTGCGGGGTAGATGCCTCCTTTGAAATTCTTCTATCCAGAACACAAAACAACAGAGATTTTAACATTCCATGATTTCTTCTTTTACTAGATCTCCATGTCCCAGGTTAGCTCGCTCCCTAAAGCTAAAACGAGCCTGGATGGATTGTGAGCTTATAGTTTTTTATCAAGTGTCTGGGCTCGTCATTTTCGAGAGCTTTTCTAGTGACCCATCTTTGACGCAGGTTTTGCTTAGCTGACGTCAATGTTTATTTTTCAAAGTTACAAGAAATTCCTAGAAGAGGCTCTGGGAAATCTAACACAGGCTTGTACCATCAGAAGCGGGAAAAAAGAGTCAATGCTAGTGAGTCTTCTATGATTTATCATCTACAGAAGATAGAGCAATTCTCACATGCATCAATACCTGACACTTTGTCATGTAGCCGGGGATCTGGGCGGGAGCATTTGCAGACGGTACAACTTTTTTCGCTATGGAGGTTGAGGTTGGAGACATGCCGGCCGATAAATGCTCCTCAGTGCCACGAAAACCAAAAAACAAGCGAAGAAGTTCGAATTTGGAGCCGTTCAATTAAAAGGACTTGATCTCCAACTTCATCGAACAAGAATGGAAATGTTACTGATTTGTTGTAATATAGGGTCTTCAATTTCATCGGACAACGATGGAAAGATAAATTGTAATCATACTGATTTGTTGCAATATAATAGACAATGCGTTCACCTGTACAGCATCTGGCACAATTAAAATAGGATTACTTCTTCCACGCACTCTAAGATGATGTCAGATTTGTGTGATAAATGTCCTTCCGGCTTAGAATTTCTGGATTTCCTTGACTAGACAACGTTGAACATTTGGAAAGTTCCTTGCCACTGCTTTCTGCACTGACCAGTGACTACTTCCAAATCTCGCTCTAAATTGCTATACCCTAGGATTCTCCGTTTACCCTTGAGATGATGCTTCAACAAAGCACTGATATACCCCAGCGCTTAGTATGACATGAACAGGAAGTTGGGAACATGAAAATACATGTTCCGACAACAATAAATACCAAGAGACCCGGTTGTATGTTGTTGGGCTGGAACTATCTGGCTTATCATCGTTTTCCCAGTGTGAAACACAGAAATCTGTTCTTTCTTACGAGGAAGCGTGAGAGTGAGTCCTCGTCTCACCTAACAAATTATGCAGTGTGATTTTTGATCTTACCAAGATGTCCAAAGAGTCATTTGATCTTGGACCTACTTCAGACTCACATAAGGGCCATCATAAAAGACAGGTATATATCCCAATGGTACCAAATATCCTGATCACGAAAAATAATCTACAAGGAATATAAACAAAGAGAAGCATGATGATAGTAACAACAATCGTAATTCACATATAATCTTTCAACGGTAGCGGCTATTTGAAGAAGAGATGTTTGGAGGAGGGCGTCTATAAGAGGAAGAAACTGTGTCAGCTTGAGTACATGTCTTATTAGACTTGCTCTTTTTATAGAAAAAACCTACTCACCGAATCCTGTGATCCAAGGTGAGTACCAGTTCCAACATCATCATGAGCATAGTACGCACCCACGTCCCATCCGTAACTTTGGTTGGTCAAAGCCTCCTCGTGAAGTCTCGACTCCAGTGACGGTTGAGCAATCTCAGAGTCGGTGAGTGGAGAACAAGATTGTCGAGAAGCCGAGGTACGAGCACGGCTTGATACAGCTTGTTCACTCTGGTACTTATGATGAGTTGGTAAGTAGCCATTTTGGAAAATGATTGCGTTGCGCCGTCTTCGAGTGGGTGAGATACTGCGTGGAGCAGCAGGAAGCCCATCTTCTAAAAATACGGCATTTCGCCGTCGACGACTGGGGGAAATAGCACGTCGACGAGGAAGGAGGCCATTTTCCATAAAGACGGCATCGCGTTTCCGAGACCGTCCAACGAATGATTGATCATATTCTAAAGGAAGATCTCCAGCAGAGACAGGGGTACTCTGAAGAACAATTTGACGAGTAAAGTCTCGAGGTGCATCAGCGGAAGGAATGCGGGCAACGTCAATGTCGAGCCCAGTGGAGGATCCGTTGAGGATTGAAGAGTGAGTTTGCTGAGATGAAGGGTATTCGCAACGACCGCAACGAGAGAGAGAAGTTTCATAGTCTCTATGGTGGTTTAAAAGATCGTGACGAGACATACTAGGACGATCTTGATTAACCATACTGAGACAGATAGAAGAAGTTAATAACAAAGTCTTTTGGAAGGATGTGGCTAAGTATGTATGGATATGAGTTATTTGGGTGTGGGGAAATGTGGTCGGAGTTGAAAATATGATCACTCTCGGGGGCAAGACTGAACGCATTTTATATCACCTTGAAGCTAGATTATCAGCTTCTCAGACAAGAAATGCTGATGAAGGAGACATCCTGACCGCATTCTTCCAAAATGCATGTACACTACAGATACAATTCACAAGCAGGAACGCTCAAATGTTTTCTGGTCACCATGTTTAGTAAATGCCGCGGGCACTTTGCATTTCTCTCTCTGTCCTGCTTTATATTCTAGTCCGTTGTGATTAGGGCGCGGCGAAAAGTAAACGGATACATCAAATCCCGCTAAACTGTATTCCTTAGCTGATCTGCCGGTTGAATATACAACCGAGTCAGATTCGTGTACAGATCTCTTCCAGCTTTTGTTCTGATGTTTTTGAATGCGGTTTATGGGGTTGCTCTTTACAGCTTTTGAGTATTCTTCAAGGAGTATTCTTCAAGGAGAAAGGCTCATTAGGCGACACTACGAATTTGTGAGCCCTTTCAGTAATCCAAAAGATCCAAGGGAGCCATATACACAACTCTTTTTCCAAAAAGGCGCGGCCTCTTTCAGCTATTGAGGTCTGAAGGCTTATGCACCATCTCATCTTTCTGACAGTCGTGATATAGCTCTTTACTCAATCATAATTGGATGTCTTAGCTGTTCTGCGTAATGACTTTCCCTACAAGACTTTTACTTGAACTAGGAGAGCTCCGAGTATCAATTCTCTCTTCCTTTCAAAGCAGTCAGTCTCAACTGATTCTGACTGGCCAGGAAGCCGGTCCGCTGAATGTATGATGTCCACACCTTCAATGGATGTGAAACAGGTGAATCTTGATAACCACTCGGACCTCTGTCCGCCCCTCAATCATCCAAATTTCATCGTTTCTAGCGAGTTATCCACCGACATAATTTCAATCATGAGGATGAGCGCGTGGCCTGGGCAACACCTTCACTACATTCGAGGGCTAGATTTTAAAGAACTTCGCTCTTGAGAAACTCAAATATCTCCATATGTTGGATCGTATCGTACGGCTGGCATCAATGTGCTACGATTTGATCTTCTCTTTCTTTGAGGTCCACATCTCAAAACTTGTGGAAGAACATCGGCCGCAGTGATTTTCAATAAAATGATGCACATCGAGCGGGGAATTTGAAACATCATGGATTTCGTAGTTGTCTTGTTCGAAGACCTTCGCGAGTCGTGGTACCTATCAACCTTGCAATGACATATGATCGATCACACATAACTGATCTTTAATCAATGTTAAGCCGAATCAAATTTGATTTCCAAGGAGCGGATGTTCATGGGCGTTAGATCAGATGGGATGATCATAATTTCAGCTCCCATCAGATTAGAAAAAGAGGATATGCGATTAGTGAGAACTTGAAGGACACGAAACGATCGGTTGGTGACTCGAGATATGAAGGTCACGACTTGAAATCTGTTACGTCAGCTTCAAGCCCCGAGCAGACCGGGCCCGGCGAAATCACACATGTAATTTTGATTGAAAAGTCATCGAACAAAACGAGAGGATTGAAACGGAAAGAAAGAGCTTGTAGAGACTGATCAAAGGATATCGCAAAGATTCACTTACGGTAAGATAGGGGCATTGGTATCAGCTACTCTCACGCGCTTTTATGTCAAAACGATGAATTCAAAGTGAATATAATGGGCAGCCTCCAGAACTGGCACCTTGCCTTTCTTCACCGAAGTTTCTAGATGAAGATCCCTTTGTGCTTGAAAACATCAAAGGCCTTTTCGTCTGGTTTTCGGCTTTGTGCTTTATGACCAGAGGTCATGTAGGGTTGAATACAAAGGGCGATTAAGATTGTACAAGAGAGGGTTCAGAACTTCAGGTTCTACAACTTCTTCACTCTTAGCTGATTATTGTCGGATACGTTGAAAGTAATGAATGTAAAGTTTGAGTACATAAAAGGGAAAATGATGTAGATTTACCCTTTCAAATACGTTGAGCACCCGCGCTCAGTGATCAGTCGCAGGTTACAATGGATCCTCTCACCTGTTTGCGATCTTAAAGAGTGATGTCATGGACAGTCAGTTTACCGGACATAGTTGGTACTCTGGATCTTACCCCAATAACGTCCTGGAACGAGAGAAAGACAAACTTGTGTTATCCTACAAGAAGAAACAGTTAATCAGCTCAGAAGGTGAACAAAGATAGAGGTTAAGGGATTCACCAAATAAGGCATGTATATTGCAAATGGTATATATGAGAAGATATGGCACTCAGACGGAGCTAAAGAATTAATCAGGAACTTACAATAGCGGGGTTCAAGTCGAATGAAATCAAACCCAAAATGTGTTTTAGGCATTGCTCGGAAGCCTTAATTTATAACTCTTGTTTTAAAGCTTGCCAGTAGCTCTAGAGCCACTCACGAGCTCTAAAATTATGGGTTGATGCCTATGATTTTAAGAAGCTTGATTTTTTGTTGATCAAGAAAAAAAACGTCTTTCTTTGTCTCAAGAAAAGGCGTATGTGTTTTTTTTGCTCCCTAACAGTCGTTTTTTTCCTACTTCTCTCTCGTTGAGTCCACAACAGCAGATAAGATGTATTTTTTTCCAGCATTTGTACCTTTGCCTCAAAGCTTGTGTTTTTTTGTTATAAGATGTAGTCGCCTATTTTTAAACAATTCTTACAACATCCAAGTGAGTTCTAGGTAAAATTCATTTTAAAAAAATCACTTGGATGTCATAAAATCCCCACTTGGGATTTTTGACTTGAACCCCGCTAATATGATTCAGAGAATGACCTAATACCTTCAGTTACACTCAAATCAGAAAAGCTTGACCAATTTTGCCCGCAAAACTCAAGCAATTTGGTGGGGAATTTGTGACAAGCTTTTCCGGTTTGAATGTAACTGCTCTGTAAATAAAGATGACTTTGAGACAACATGTGATGATTTTGAGAAAGGAGCTGAATGCTCCAAAGAATAGCGGGGTTCAAGTAGGGCTATGACCCGGCCCTGGCCCTGCCCGGCCGAGTCTGCCCGAGGGTTTCCAGAACCAACTCGTTGCCAGGCCCGAGCATGTAGCCCTAACCTAATGATACAGACAAAGGCCCTGTGTCAGGGCCACTCAGGGCCGGGGCCGGCGCTCAAAATCCCGTTAAACAAAGGGTGAAAGGCTTAGTTCCAGCCTCTTTCCACCTTAACCCCCTCGAGTACCCTTTACCCATACAGTATACCATACCCCAGGCCCCATACCCAACTTCTTCGATCACCATGTCTCGCCGAAGTCTTCGAGTCACCAATTTAAACACTATGTCCACCACCTCCAGCACAACTTCGATCACGCCATCTGACTCGGTCTCAGCTGCTGCTAGTGCAGCCGAATCCGAAGATACTGCCACAAACCGTACTTCTTGGGTGTGGCAGTACTTCTCGACAGTCACGCTCCCCAACAAAAGTGTCAAGAACGTCTGCCGTGCCAACAAAGGCTTCATCGACAAACCTCCGAGTCCGGACTTAGAAGAGGCGCCTGTGATTGTGTGTAATGAGGAGATCGCCATCGACAAAAGCTCCAGTACCAGATCAATGGCCCGCCACCTCTCCCGTGCTCATCGTATTGAACCTCCGATTGACACCTCACAACAAACACTTACATCCTTCCCTGCTACTGGTAAGAATTCTAATGTAAGTTTCATCTTCATTTCTTTTTATGTTTCCTCTTTGTATCTTTGACTGATCGCAGTTTTTTTTAGTTTGGACCTCTCAACAGGAAAAACCTCACCAACGCTATCATCCGTCTTATCGTCAATCGAGAGCTCGCAGTATCACTTGTTGACGCGCCGGAGTTCCGTGAGCTTGTATCCTGGATTAACCCTGCCGTTTCGCCTATCCTGTCAAAGCAAACTGCCATTACCGATGGCATCATTGCCCAATTCCGTCTCGCTCGAATTCGCTTGAGTCATCTTTTCTCTTCGGTCGATTTTATCAGCATCACTTGTGATGCGTGGACCTCACCTCGAAGTGTACCGATGTTAGGAATCACGGCGCACTGGATGAGCGATGACTTTGTTATGAAATCGGTTGTTCTAGGTTTGAAGGAAATCAATGGGTCTCATACTGGTAAAAACATCGCTTCCTTGGTCAAGCACACCTTAGATCAGTTTAATATCACCAATAAGCTCTACTGTATTACTGCTGACAACGCTTCAAATAATATCACCATGGCCCGAGAGCTTCACATTCCAATACCTCACTTCGATCACAAAAAGAATCTCCACGGCTGTGTTGCCCACGTTATTAATCTAGTCACCAAAGCCGGTATCTCCATCTTTGACAGCAAGGCTCCCCCCGATCCTCTTAGTGCATTAGATCCTCAACTTCCTCAAGAAAACGATCTTCCTGATGGCACCCATTCTCTAATCGAACCTACCCCGCATCTTGAAGTCCACTCAATCCTAACTCAAATTTGTGGTTTTCACAAACGAGTCCGATTGAGCACTCAGCTCAAACAGGCTCTTGACCAATGTATTGCGACTTCATCACAGCCTCGAAAAGTCGGACTCATCCACGAGGTTTCCACTCGATGGTCGTCTACCTTCTACTCTCTCGAGCGTTTCTTTGAACTCAAGAAGGTCCTTCAGTACTATTGTAACATAAATGAATCTTTGGAGCCTTACCTCCTGACCAAAGACGAATGGATGTTGGTGGGCAGCTTAGTCAAGTTTCTCCGACCTCTTGCAATCATGATCAAGGAAATCGAAGGCGATGACTATCCCACTTTCTCACGAGCAATGCCAGACTATCAATGGCTTGTTGAAAAGCTTGAAAAAGTAAGCTTTTCATTTTATTTTCATATTAATTACTTTATATTTAAACATTATCTTTTTACCAAACATAGGCATGGGGCACGTCTGAGTGTACCAACTTGAAGGCAGCCAT